CAGAGAGAGAGAGAAAAGAGACCATGAGTATTGACACAATTTATTCCCAGTCATCAGGTGGATATATTTTGTTGTGTGTGGGAGGAAGGGGGGAAGGACTTCTGACGTTTGTGTTATTACCAGACTGAGTTTTAATTGTCTTTCTGTGCTTATAATATGATTTTGAGGGGGGGGGGAAGGGAGAGAAGGAGGAAGGAAGAGAAGAGAATGGAGGAGGATGGTCTCTCCTCTCTCCCTCTCTCCCTCTCCTCTCATAAGCTCCCTGTAAGATAAGAGTCAATATTGGCAAATCATACTGAGGGGAAAAAAAAGACAGAAAAGGTGTTAAGAAGATATCGAGCCTCAACCGGTCGGTGTGTTTACCTAACCCCCCCCCTTCCCTCCTGACCTCCCTCCCTGACCTCCCTCCCTGACCTCCCTCCCTGACCCCTCTCTCCCCCCTACCTCTCGCGCAACCTTCTGTTTATCCTTGGCCTCCCTATAGCCGGCTGCCATATGAGAGCCAGCTAGCCAGCCAGCCAGACCGACCAGCCTCTCCACCACCCCAACCCTCCTCTCCTTCCCTCTCTCCCCTCACCCTCCTTCCCCTCCTCCCTCCTTCCCTCCTCTTTTACCAGAAAATGTTTATGGAATATTTCACGACGAGTTAAGAATGGAATGTGGACTTATGGTAGACGATAAACCATTAATTCCCGGGCAGGAGGAGGTCGGTAGACAGGTAGGTAGTATGAGTAGGAGTAGGTAGGTAGGTAGGTGGGTGAAGATCTCCTCAAGTGCACGGCTTATTGGGTTAGGGGGTTTGGTAGGGAGGAAGAGGGGAGTAGGAGAGAGAGAAGAAGAGAGAGGAAAACTACCGAGCTTCTGTAAGTACTCAACAACAAAGCCAAAACAATGCAAACACTCTGGAAAATCCCTCTCCACCCCTCTCTCCTCTCCCCACCACTCCCGACCCACAAACGCCACCCCTCTCTCCCTCTCCCCACCACTGACCCAAAACACCACCCCTCTCTCCCTCTCTCTCCCCACCACTCCCGACCCAAACACCACCCCTCTCTCCCTCTTCCCTACCTCCCGACCCACAAACACCACCCCTCTCTCCCTCTCTCCCACCACTCCCGACCCACAAACACCACCCCTCTCTCTCTCCCCCACCACTCCCGACCCACCCCCTCTCTCCCTCTCCCCACCACTCCCGACCCCACCCCTCTCTCCTCTCCCCCACTCCCGACCCCTAGCCCCACCACCCCCTCTCTCCCACCACTCCCCACCCCCCCTCTCTCCCTCTCCCCCACCACTCCCGACCCCCACCCCTCTCTCCTCTCCCCACCACTCCCCGACCCACCCCTCTCCTCTCCTCTCCCCACCACTCCCGACCCACAAACCGGCTCAACTTGGCATCCACGAAAACGAACACGATGGATAAACAAACAGTCAAGTGTGCTTCCCAGTCTGCCCTGAGCTGAGCCAACTCCGCTTCTGTTTACCTTCCTTGTTTACTTTACGCGTTTACCTCCGGCTCACCGACGCTCCTGCCACCTAGCGGACCAAAGCTAAGTGAGAGGCTGGTCTGCCGCTGTGGGGAGGTGAGGGGAGGAGAAATGGAGTGTGGTTTGGAAGGAAAGGACGTGGTGACAGGGGAGGAAGAAAGAAATGGGAGTGAGGTGGAGGAAGGGTTGTGTTGTGAGGAGAAGTGTGTAGTCCATGGAAGAGGGGAGGAAAATGGACGTCAGGTGTGGGAGGGGAGGTGAGAGAATGGAAGACTTGGTGGATAGAGGAAAAGTAGAGGTGAGGAATGAGTGGGGTGAGAGATGAGGGGACGAGAGGGACATAGAGTGGGGGTCATTATGAGGAAAGGGACGTGTAGTAGGACAAGTACAAGGAAGAAGACGTGTACTTGAGGCTCCTAGGACGAGGGACGTGGTTAATTTTCACCCAGTAATTAAATATTTTCCCTCCTCCAGTTTACTACACCTAGGAAGATGCCTTAATAAGAGTCGCATTACCTGAAGATTAGTCACCCTAACCTAACCTAACCTCATCTAACCCACCTCAACCCTAACCCCTAGCTTTCAATCTAACCTAACCCACCTCAATCTAATCTAACCCACCTCCTTCAACCCCTCAACCTAACCTAACCAAATCTAAACTGGGAAGGGGTGACTAATCCTCAGGTGATCCGTAAACTATCCCTTGGTTAAAAGACTCAAGTGTTTCCTGCCTCTCCCCACCACCCCCCTCACCTCCCCCTCCCCCACCACCGTGTTTTACTCTGGCTTAAATTATACAAACAGTTTTAGCTTTGAGAAGTCAAACATGTGAGGGGTCGTCACTGTGTGGGTGGGGGGATGGGTGGGTGGGTGGGGTGTTGGTAGAGTGGACGTTGGTGTGTGTGTGTGTGTGTGTGTGTGTGGTGTGTGTGTGTGTGTACTCCCAGGTGTATAGGTTGGTATAGGAAGGTGTAGACATGTTGTATTAGCAGCTGTAGGTGTATAGTGTAGCCCAAGTGTATTACTGCATGGTGAGTTATGGTGGGTGTAGATCAGTGGTTCACTCCATTCCCCCTTGAGGAATTTCAACATCCTCGTGGACTCCTTCATTCCCCCCCCCCCATTCGGTCCTATCACCACTTGGAAAGATGACTCACGGACACGTACTGAACAAGTCAGTTCAGCAGCTCGGTCCGCCCCTGTCACACACACAGGGACTGGACCTGTGAAATCTTAAATAATCCGTAAAATAAAAATTAGCACCAGAGTATGTAAATATTAAAATTGTATTGTCGTTATGATTAAACAAAATGACAAAAAAAAATAATGAAAATTCTCTTCTGCCAAGTCAAAATAAGTAATACAAGTTTTGTTTAATTCAGATTCCCAACATTATTTGGAAACGTACAATTTATAACAGCTCGCCGTGGCTCCCAGGTTGAGAACCACTGGACTGTAGATAAAGTGTAGTGGCAGGTGTAGCGTGAATGTAGTAGTGGTGTGGTTCCAGGGTGTAGCGTGAGTGTATCTTGGGGTGTGTTCTGGGAATAATAATGAGTGTAGATGTAGTATACTAGCAGGTGTAGTCCAGGAGTGTAGTGTCAGGTGTAGTCAGTGTAAACCAGGTGTGTTAGGATGAGTAAGTGTAGATGGTGTACCACAACAACAACAACATGAGAGTGTACCTGGGGTCAGGGTGTAACTAACTGGGGTCAGAGTGTAACTAACTGGGATCAGGGTGTAACTAACTGGGATCAGGGTGTAACTAACTAGGGTCAGGGTGTAACTAACTGGGGTCAGGGTGTAACTAACTGGGATCAGGTGTAACTAACTAGGGTCAGGGTGCTAACTGGGATCAGGGTGTAACTAACTGGGGTCAGAGTGTATCTAACTGGGGTCAAGTGTAACTAGCTGGGGTCAGGTGTAACTAACTGGGGTCGAGGTGTAACTAACTGGGGTCAGGGTGTACTAACTGGGGTCAGTGTATCTAACTGGGGTCAGGGTGTAATTAACTGGGGCCAGGGTGTAACTAACTGGGGGCAGGGTGTAACTAACTGGGGTCAGGTAACTAACTGGGCAGAGTGTAACTAATTGGGGTCAGGGTGTAACTAACTGGGGTCAGAGTGTAACTAACTGGGGTCAGAGTGTAACTAACTGGGGTCGGGTGTAACTAACTGGGATCAGGGTGTAACTAACTGGGTCAGAGTGTATCTAACTGGGGTCAGAGTGTAACTAGCTGGGGTCAGGTGTAACAACTGGGGTCAGGGTGTAACTAACTGGGGTCGGGTGTAACTAACTGGGGTCAGAGTGTATCTAACTGGGGTCAGGGTGTAATAACTGGGGCCAGGGTGTAACCCTAGGCAGGGTGTAACTAACTGGGGTAGGGTAACTAACTGGGGCAAGTGTAACTAATTGGGGTCAGGGTGTAACTAACTGGGGTCAGAGTGTAACTAACTGGGGTCAAGTGCTACTGGGGTCAGGGTGTAACTAACGGTCAGGGTGTAACTAACTGGGGTCAGGGTGTAACTAACTAGGGGCAGAGTGTAACTAACTGGGGTCAGGGGTGTAACTAACTGAGGTCAGGGTGTAACTAACTGGGGTCAGAGTGTAACTAACTGGGGACAGAGTGTAACTAAGGTCAGGGTGTAACTAACTGGGGTCAGTGTAACTAACTGGGGTCAGAATGGAACTAACTGGGGTCAGGGTGTTCTGGGTAAGGGTGTAACTAACTGGGGTCAGGGTGTAACTAACTGGGGTCGGGTGTAACTAACTGGGGTCAGGGTGTAACTAACTGGGGTCAGAGTGTAACTAACTGGGATCAGGGTGTAACTAACTGGGATCAGGGTGTAACTAACTAGGGTCAGGGTGTAACTAACTGGGGTCAGGGTGTAACTAACTGGGATCAGGGTGTAACTAACTAGGGTCAGGGTGTAAAGAGTGTAACTAACTGGGGTCAGAGTGTAACTAACTGGGGTCAGAGTGTAACTAACTGGGGTCAGGGTGTAACTAACTGGGGTCAGGGTGTAAACTAACTGGGGTCAGAGTGTAACTAACTGGGGTCAGAGTGTAACTAACTGGGGTCAGGGTGTAACTAACTGGGGTCAGAGTGTAACTAACTGGGGTCAGAGTGTAACTAACTGGGGTCAGGGTGTAACTAACTGGGGTCAGAGTGTAACTAACTGGGGTCAGGGTGTAACTAAGTACACTACTGTTGCCTTTCTATATATATATATACACTTATGGTAAGTCGACAGGTGTGTGGCAGGTATGGAGAACACAACTACAGCAGGAGGAGGAGACCTATCACCACTATCACCACCACCACCACCAGCAGGAGGAGGAGGAGGAGGAGAAGGATGGTGATGATGGTGGTGATGATGGTGGTGAAGAAGAAGAAGAAGAAAAGGAGTCAATGGTGACCTCCTTGATCAATATCCTTCCTTATCACCCTCCCTCCTTCCCTCCCTCCTTCCTTCCTTCCCTCCTTCCTTACACGGGTCTTCCTTATCTTAGATTGGGCAATGGTAGGGTCGCGTCACCCAGGTTCCCCGTCACCATCTTCACCACGAGGGCGCCACAACACTCACCACCTCCCCTCCGCCCACGATGATCACCCAGGGTCCTCCTCCTCTACTACGGGCGGAGTTACTTCCCCTTATACACCCGGTGAGGAACTCGTGTTGGTTGTCTGTCTGTCTGTCTGTCTGTCTTGTTTGGGTGGTTTTTTTTCCCCCCCCTCCTCTCCGTCTCCCTTTCCCCTCCTTACTTGTATCTACCCCTTCCCCACCTCCCCCCCCTCTCTCTCTCTCTCTCTCCGGGCTTCAGTTTATTTTCACACAAGTGTTGGTAGAGTCACGCCTGGTCTGTCTTTATTTTCACACTTCTTAGTTTTTTTTTTCTTTATACTTTCTCTAGTTTTTTTGTGTTTGTTTGTTTGAAATTTTTTTTATAATTATTTTATGTTTTATCTTTAATTTCACAGAATTTTTATCTCTCTATTTTAACATTTTATTAATTTATTTTTATTTTGTGCTCTCTCTCTCTCTCTCTCTCTCTCTCTCTCTCTCTCTCTCTCATTTCTTCTGTCTTGCTTCCGACTCTTATTTCTCTTTCGTTATTATTATTGTTATTTTGGTCATTATTCCCACTAACACCGGGTCACGAATTACTAAGAATCACATTGCCATTATTTTATTTTTTTCCCCCATGTTGAAAATCGACTTTTTTCCCTCTTGGTAGTGACGTCATCAGTTGGTATCATTTGGTAAACACAGCAATCACGTCACTTTTTTTTTCCCCACCAATCAGCGGCCGGAGGAGAGGTTTTGGGGCCAATGGTGACTCATAATATCATCGACGTCACGGGAAGTCCATTTTTGTTTCAGCCAATGACCGTTTGAGTTGTCATTTTGTCACCCAATCAGCGTCTTGATTAGTAGATTTTTGGCGGGAGTTTTGGCGGGTTTTTTGGTGATTTTTGGCGGGTTTTTTTTGGTGATTTTTGGCGGGTTTTTTTGAGCAGGTTTCCCCCACCAGTGAAATAAATACTACATCAATATAAACCCAAAACGATAAATCACTTGAGTTATTTAAAAATCACAGGTTATTTACTACCATCATCATACAGTACTTCCCCAAGGAGATCACCTGTGCTTCCCCTCATCCATAGGTGAGTACAATCACCAGGTACAATCACCAGGTAAAAATCAGGTCAGGTAAAAATCAGGTCAGGTAAAATTAGCTCAAGTAAAATTAGGTCAGGTAAAGTCATCTCATTTCAAGTTCATTTTAATAATTTCAAACCCCAAATTTCCCCTTTGCTTCGAAGACCTATTCACCTGTGCTTAGGGTCCTAATTAACTCCTGGGCAGGTAGGGTCTTAATTACCTCCTGGGCAGGTAGGGTCATTAACTCAATAATTATGCATTGTCTCCATATTTTCACATCATTGTATTCATTATAAAAAAAACATTATAGTTTGTTTTGTTTTCATGTCTCCATCGTGTGCTGGTGTTTGGGAAATAATAATTATTTTATTTATATCTCCTTTCTACCTCCTCCTATTATCTTTCTTCCTATCTTGTCTATTCCAATTCTTTCTGTTCATTTCTGTTATCTCTTCCTCCTCCTCCTCTTCCATTATCATTATCCTCTTGCTATTTCTCTTCATACTTGGTGTCTTATCATTTCATCCTTCTCCCTTCCTTGTTATTCCATCTTCTTCAATCTGTTATTTTTCCCACTTCTTTTCATTCCCCTTGTTCATTTCTCTTTTTTTCAATTCCTTCCTTCCTTCCTTCTTTCTTCTTCCCTCTTTCTTTCTTCTCGTTCGTGGGAGGAGGGAGTGTGAGGGGCGAGGGTGGGGGGGTGGAGGTCCTTCTTGAGGCTGTTCTTCTCTTTCCTTATCCTTCCCTTCTCTCCTCTTCCCCTCTTCCTCATTCTTAGTCTGTGCCTTCTCCTCTCCCCTTGTTTGATTCCCTATTCTATTTCTTCTTTTCTCTTCCCCTCTTCCGACCTCTCACACTCTCCCTCTCCACTCACCACTCACCAGCCTCTCACACCGTCCCTCTCACTCACCACTCAAGGACTTGACGAGTGAGTGCCAGTTCATTAATGGTGACCAACACACACACACACATACACACACACACACACACACACACACACACACACACACACACACACACACACACACACATCTATCCATCTAATGCTATTGGTGGGTTTCTAACTCATAATCAACCAATGTTTTGACGGCATGTTGTGACGTAATAGGGAATTGACCAATCAAATCAATCCTTTTTGGCGTCCTTAGCAACGGTGACGATCTGTACTAGTAGTTGATTGGCTGTTGGTCGTTAAGGGAATTTATGCCGTCACATAGGGAATTTTCAGAGCAATTATTATTATTATTATTATTATTATTATATTTTTAGTATGAAAGGTTAATTATGTTATTGTTAAGGTTAATATGGTTGTGAATATATTATAACATCACAACTCACAACCAACGATTTTTAACACTAGTTCAGTCTACCAAGAGTTAACTATGGTCAAGTCAGAGTAATTTTGACGCCATATTAGCCTTGACCTCTAGACTCGACCTCATGACCTCTAGATTCGACCTCCTGGCCTCTATTCGACCTCTTGACCTCTATTTGACCTCTTGACCTAGATTCGACCTATGACCTCTAAACTCGACCTCATGACCTCTAGATTCGACCTATGACCTCTAAACTCGACCTCATGACCTCTAGATTCGACCTCCTGACCTCTAAACTCGACCTCATGACCTCTAGATTCGACCTCGTGACCTTTATATTCGACCTCGTGACCCCCTGTAGAGTCTAAGTACACTTTAGCGGCCATTTTAAAACGTTATAATGGAACACAGTTAAGGTACAGTCTCCATCAACTTTGGCGGCCATTTTGAAAGCTATTTTTATATGACCTTCAATAGTTAACTTCATCCAACGTCTCCAGTCACGAGAAAAAAAATTATCTTACGAGAACTTCTGAGAATTACTGAAGAGGCTTGTTGACAGATGGTGTGGTAGAGGTGGTGGTGGTGGTGGTAGTGGTGGTAGTGGTGGTGGTGGTTGTAGTGATGGTGGTTGTAGTGATGGTGGTGGTGGTAGTGATGTAGTGATGGTGGTGGTAGTGGTGGTGGTAGTAGTGGTAGTGGTTGTAGTGATGTAGTGATGGTGGTGGTAGTGTTGGTGATGTTGTGTGTGTGTGTTAAGTAATAATATGTAATATATGTATATATATATATATAATAATAATAATAATAATAATAAAACCAAACAAAAACAAACTAACAGTAACTGGAGGAGAAACAAGAACAACAAGAACACTATACTGAGGCACTAGTGAACACGGTACAAATACTGGCCGCTTTGTGGGAGTCAAAATCCAATTACGGTGTTGACAGGTAGGATGGGCGGCCCTTGAGGTGGTGGCCAACAGCTGACTCCCTACCTCCTCCTTCATCCCTCCCTATAGCAGTCTTACCTTCCTCCCTCCTCCCTCCCTCCTCCCTACACTATACTCCCTCAACCTCCTACCTCCTTCCATTAACTCCCTTTCTCCTCATTTTCTCCCTTTCTCCTCATTTTCTCCCTTTCTCCTTTCTCCTCATTTTCTCCCTTTCTCCCTTTCTCCTCATTTTCTCCCTTTCTCCCTTTCTCCTCATTTTCTCCCTTTCTCCTCATTTCTCCTTTCTTCTCATTTTTCTCCTTTCTCCTCATTTTCTCCCTTTCTCCCTTTCTCCTCATTTTCTCCCTTTCTCCTCATTTTCTCCCTTTCTCCCCATTTTCTCCCTTTCTCCTACTCATTCATGTCTCGCTTTCCCTCACAATCCCTCTTTCTTCGTCTCCTCCTCCCCTCCCCCCCCCTCCAGTCTCTCAGTCCTCCCTCTTATCCTCTCCTCCACTTCCTCACCACTCTCATCCCACTTCATCCCTCTCCACTCCCTTTTCAGTCAGTCCTTCTTCATCCCTCTCCCCCCCTCCTGAGAGCGCCAGTGAGCTAGGGTGAGTTTATCCCTGTTGAGAGCGTCAGCTGTGAGGACTCGAGACTTCTTCGTGTTGACTCTTATGGTTTGAACACACACACACACACACACACACACACACACACACACACACACACACACACACACACACACACACACACACACACACACACACACACACACACACACACACACACACACACACACACACACACACACACACACACATCAAGAGGTTCAGTGTGGTGTGTTTATTTGTGTGATTCTTTTTCGTAATTTTCGTGTTTTTGTGTGCTTCGTTTTCAGGGTTTGTGATTTTTTTCTGTTTTTCCTATTTGCTTAGTGTGTGTGTGTGTGTGTGTGTGTGTGTGTGTGTGTGTGTGTGTGTGTGTTATCGCCAAAATCTTGAAAAATCAGAAGCCTAAAAAAACAGCTGGCTGACCTCTGACCTGACTGTGTGTAAAAGAGGGGAGGGAGGAGGTGGTGTCGAAGATGGGAGGTGGATGTGCAGGAGGAAGTCGTAGTGAAGATGTGCTGGGGGTCGAGGCACATGGGAGCAGAGAGTCGTAAACAGGTCACGTCACCTTAGAATGAGGTCGTTTTTCCACCTTGTCTCCTGTATTGGGTCGTCCTAGTGTCTCGATATAGTGGCCCCTGATCTGTTAATGGTGCTTTATTGGTACTTCACTATAGAGGAGGGACGAGAGGGTACAGCACTCACTTCCAGTTCTAATGGTCTCTGGTTCGCATTCTAGAGCGCCCCCACCCTAACCCAACCCAACCTAACCTAAGTAGTGATCCGGGAAAACGACTTTAAGCTCCCCACAAATTCCGTCAACCTGCCTCTTCATCTCCCCAGTCCTCCCATTTACACCCCCCTGTAATGTTGGGATGCCTGTTACTCCCTCCCAATTGGGTGGTGGAGGCCTGTATCTGATCTGCAGCTGCAGGAGGAGGAGGTGAGGTGGCTGGGTGGGAGGGTGAGATGGCCAGGTGGGAGGGTGGGGGGATGGGGTGGGGGTGGAGGTGGTGGGTGGGTGGGGGGGGTGAGAGGGGGGGGGGGGAGTGGGAGATGGCGTGGGGTGGGGGGGTGGGAGGTGAGATGGCCAGGTGGGAGGGGTGAGATGGCCAGGTGGGAGGGTGAGATGGC